GGTGAGGAAGTGAGTGAAGAGTATGAGAGAATCCTGGCAGGAAAAAATCTCTCCACTGGGATTCCTTAAGAGACATCTTAATGAAGATACTATTTACGGAGGTATGGGAGTGAGGGTGCTAAAGAAGAAGTCAGGAATCCCAGGGAACAGAACAGCAGGAAGCTGCTAAAACTCTGAGGCCTGAGGGGCAGGAGGAGAAAATTGCACGAACTGAAGCTGGGTGAAAAACCACGGAAGAGGGCCACGTGGAACAGAAGCTGTAACTGAGGGAAGTAGCACTCAGAAACACAGCAAAGCAGGGAAGAAGCACAAGGAATAAATTGGGCTGAATTCTGTTGAAATCCATTGGAGGCCAGCAGGAGAGGCAGCCTGGTGATACCGTCCACAGAAGCCAGTGTCCCGGGGCAGGGACGGGTGGACAATGGATGGGAGGATGGAGGGGAGCTGGTGATAGAGTCCACAGAAGCCAGTGTCCCAGGGCAGGGACGGATGGGCAATGGATGAGGGGCGGAGGGGAGCTGGTGATAGAGTCCACAGAAGCCAGTGTCCCGGGGCAGGGACGGGTGGACAAAGGGTGGGAGGACGGAGGGGAGCAGGACAAAATCAGCAGGGCTGTAAGCTGGGGGGAGGGAGAGGACAAAGTGCAGGTGACGGCTGTACGGACCACAAGGGAAGGTAGGGAGGCGCAGAAACGGTGAAGAGAACAAGTGCAGACATCGAATGCCAGCCTCCCCACTGTGTTACCATGGACCCAGTGCTTTAATATTCCTGGGTGCTGTGAGAACTGAACGAGACCATGGATATAAGGTTCTTGGGCTCAATAAATTGTAGCTATTATTGTTTGCTATAGAGACACAGCATTGGGCCAGCCCAGTGGCGCAGCGGTTAAGTTTGCACGTTCCACTTCAGCGGCCGGGGTTTGCCTGTTTGGATCCTGGGTGCGGACATGGCACCGCTTGGAAAGCCACACTGTGGTAGACGTCCCACGTATAAAGTAGAGGAAGATGGGCACAGATGTTAGCTCAGGGCCAGTCTTCCTCAGCAAAAAGAGGCGGACTGGCAGCAGATGTAAGCTCAGGACTAATCTCCCTCAAAAAAAACTGACATGGCATTAGTTTCTTTTAAAAGTAGCTTCAGGAGCTGGCCCCATGGCGTAGTGGTTAAGTTCATTTGCTCTGCTTCGGGAACCTGGGGTTCGCAGGTTCAGATCAGCTCTGCTTATCAAGCCATGCTGTGGAGGCATCCCACATAAACTAGATGAAGATTGGGTCAGATGTTAGCTCAGGGCCAATCTTCCTCAAAAAAAAAAAAGTAGCTTTGAAATATCACAGTTATGAATCATGGGGATTTAATGTAGGTTCAATGAGGAACCTGCCTTCTTGAGATCCTACAGGAAAAGCGTTTCTCTTGTTTTACTGCTTGGACCTGTGGCTAGGCGTGCTGTTATCACCTGGTGGCAGCGTACCCCAATCGTAGGTCCCATTGTTTGGAGAGACTCCTAAAAAGTTATGGACAGAAAGACAGCCAGAGCTTATGTACCGCCTGATGAAGTGCATGGCACCGCCTTTAAACAGCCTTGCCAAAAAATCAAACCTGAATCCAATTAAGACTTTGGATCCAACTACCAATTTTCAGGAAATACAGGAAAGAAAGAGACCTCATGAGGATGCGAGCAGCAAAACCAGAGTGTGGAAATCTCTACAGGACAAACACCTTAGTGTTTTTGTTTTTTTTTTTAATGCGCAGGAAAAGAGAAAGCTAGACGAGGAACCTTAACACTAAAAGAGACTAAAGAGACAAATAAACACACCACAATAAAAAAGCATTCAGAGAGGGGCTGGCCCCGTGGCCGAGTGGTTAAGTCTGTGCACTCTGCTGCAGGAGGCCCAGTGTTTCGTTGGTTCGAATCCTGGGCACGGACATGGCACTGCTCATCAAACCACGCTGAGGCAGTGTCCCACATGCTACAACTAGAAGGACCCACAACGAAGAATATACAACTATGTACTGGGGGGCTTTGGGGGGAAAAAGGAAAAAATAAAAAAAATCTTTAAAAAAAAAAAAAGCATTCAGAGAAATGTGAATGCTGACTGGGTATTGGATGATAAGGAATCACTGTTAAATTTGGGGGGTGCCACTGTTGGTCTTTGGTTTTATTTTTTCCTGAGGAAGTACCTCAATATCTCTTTTAAAAGAGATGCATGTTGACAAATAGGTGTAATAATAGGATATCTGAGATTTATTTCAAACTAATCTATGGGGTGGGGGTTGGGGAGATGCATGAGGAGAAGGCGGAAAGAAAACGGGCCATGAGCTAGCAAAGGCCGAAGTTGAGGGCCGGCCTGGGAAGCTCCCGATGCTCGCGGTAGGGGCTGCGTATCTGTGTCCCCCCCGTGCTCTTGTGCTGAAGCCCTGGCTCGGCAGAGTGAAGGTGCTGGGAGGTGGAGGCTGGGGAACTGATCAGGTTCCGAGGAGGTCAGGAGGGTGGAGCCCCGTGATGGTATTAGGGCCGTAACGGAGCAGGAGTGGGTGCCGCAGCTTCCCCTCTCTGCCGTGCCCTGCGAGGAGACAGAGAGAAGGCAGCCGTTGGCCAGCCAGGCAGGGGGCCTCCACCAGAACTGGACTGCGCGGGCACCCGGGTCTCAGACTTCTCAGCCTCCGGAATGGTGAGGAGGAAATGTCTGCTGTGGAAGCCGCCCCCTTGATGGCGTGTTGTTAGAGCAGCTCGAATGTCCGGTACTTGTGGTCAGCAGACCAGCAACGGGAGCTTTTTAGCAGTTGGGTCTCAGGCCCCAGCGCAGGCCCAAGTCAGAATCTGCAGCTTAAGGAGCTCTGCAGGGGAATCACAGGGACGCTGAAGCTTGAGAAGCGTCAAATTACCTTATTTCTACTTTTGTGTATGTTTGAGATTTTCACAGTAAAAATTTAAAAACTAAGAAGTTATAAAAGTAAAATTGTTAATGTATAGCAAATACTACATAAAAGACGTTCATAAAATATTGGTTGGGATGAGTGGGATGCTGCCCAAATGGCAAATATTTCTAATTTTCTTGTCAATAATAATGTCGTAATTGCAGTGTGTTATAATGACAAATACAGCACATATCAACATATTTCATCTTTGCAAAAAGCCTCTAAAATGTCCATCGTTGCAGATCTCGGGGACAAGCAAACTAAAGTTCCGAGAGGCCAAGTGACTCATCAGAGACCCCGCAGTTTTTAAGTGGAAAAAACAGAACTCTAGACAGGACTTCCAACCCCAAAACCCATTCTCTTTCTACCGCTTAACCATAATTCTATGAACTGAAATGTGTGCCAGGCATTTGTGGTTTGTTTTCATACAATTTTGTTTGGGTTTTAGTCGTTCGTGTCTGTAAAAAGTTTCTTCTTGTTGCATGGCTTGTTGGGCCACAGTTACTTTTACTTCCCATTTTGAGCTCTGCTGGCATTCTCCGGGGAAACTGCAGCACTGGCTTTTAAATCTTACTTTATTCAAGAGAAAATTATCTCAAATCTTGCATTTCTCTCATTCACAGGATCTTGAAAGCTTAGGACTGAAATGACTGAGTCATGAGAATACCATCAGTGATTCATGAATTTGTACGTTGAAATCACTTGGGGAACTTTAAAAATTTCTAATGGCAGGTGACATCCCAGACCAATTAAACTAGAATCTCTAAGGGAGGGACCCAGGCAGGTTCCCCAGGCAGTCCCAATGTGCAGTCTAGTCTGAGAAGCAGCGATCCAGCTATTCTCGATAGAAGCAAAGTTCCACCTAGGGAACATTCTGGAAATTTGTGAACGAATTTTGATTGTTGAAATATTCAGAACAGCTAAAACAAAAAATAGTGATAACACCAAGTTCTGGTGAGATGCAGAGAAACCAGATCACTCAAACAGTGCTGGTGAGAATGTAAAATGGCACAGCTGCTCAGAAAAATAGTTGGGCAGTTCCTTCTAAAACCAGAAATGGACTGAACATGTGACCCAACAATTTCACACTTGAGGATTTATCCCAGAAGAATGACAATTTATTTTCACATAAAAACATGTCCATGGAGGGGGGGGGCGGGGGGCGGGGGGCATAGTGGTTAAGTTCGCATACTCCCCTTCAGTGGGTTGGGGTTGGTGGGTTCATATCCTGGGTGCAGACCTACACAGTGCTCATGAAGCCATGCTGTGGAGGCATCCCACATATAAAATAGAAGAAGATTGGCACAGACGTAAGCTCAGCGACAATCTTCCTCAAGCAAAAAGAGGAAGATTGGCAACAGCTGTTACCTCAGGGCCAATCTTCCTCACAACAATAACAAAACATGTCCATGAATGTTCATAGCAGCTTTATTCACAATAGCCAAAATCTAGAAAGTACCCAAGTGTCTTTCAATAGATGAATGATTAAATGAACTGTGGTACACCCATACCGTGTGTGATGGTTAATTTTATGTGTCAACTTGACTAGCCACAGGGTGCGGAGATCAAACAGCTTTTCTGGCTGTTTCTGGATGAGATTAGCATTTGAACTGGTGGACTCCCATTGTGGGTCGGCATCATCATCCAGTGCTTTGAGGGCCTGAATAGAACAAAAAGCAGAGGGAGGAAGAATTCACCCGTTTTTCCTGCCTCACCGCTTGAGCTGCCGGGACCGCTATCTCATCTCTGCCCCTAGACTAGGAGTTACACGTGGCTCCCCGGGGTCTCAGGCGCTGGGACTCTAACTGAATTGCACACCGGCTTTCCTGGGTCTCCAGCTCAGACGGCAGGTTGTGGGACTTCTCAGCTGCCATAATCGCGTGAGCCAATTCCTTGTAATAAGCCTCTCTGTCTCTCTGTCTGTATATACGTGTACCCATCTCTCTCTCTCTATATATGTCTCTATGTTTCTCCTTCTCTCTCCGCCTCTCAGGATCATCATGAGTCGGTAACTGCTGTGTGCTGTTCCCTGGCTCTGTAAAGGATAGCGTCTAATGTGGTTCTCTTATCCCTGCCTCACCACTGCATGTTGAAAGTGTGCAGGAAAGAGAACTTGTCCTTCTTGTGCACAGCCCTCTGCATCTGAAGAGCTGAGCTGAGGAGCCTCCTTCACAGCTGGACCCGATTTAGATGTTAATATCCTGGACTTCAAACCAACGCCTTAATGGAATTAGACTTTGGGGGAAGGTGCGAGCGTATTTTACATGTGGGAGAGAAGTGACTGTGGTAGATTGTCTCCAAACATGGCTTTCATCAATTCCTTCCCTCCCTGGACACACACACCCTTCCTCTATCAAGAGGTAAAGTCTACCTCCCCGTTCCTCGAGTCTGGGCTGGCCTTGGGCTTGCTTTGGCAAAAAGAAGATGGCAAAAGTGTCACTGGTCCAGTATTGGGCCTAGCCTTTAACAGAACTGGTTTGATGCCCTCTTATAAGCCAGCCACCATGTAAGAATGAGACTAACTTGAAACCACCAGGCTGTGAAGAAGCCCAAGGTGGCCAGGTGGAGAAAAAGACCATGTGGAGGATACTAAGGCACCTGCAGCTGCCCAGCTGCCTGAGAATGCACCTGAGTGATCCAGCTATTGTCATGTGGAACAGAATCACCACCTAGCCAAGCCTGAACTTAACTCCTGACCCACAGATTTGTGACAATAATATATTACTGTTTTAAGCCACTGAGATTTGGGGTGGTTTGTTAGGCAGCAAGAAATAACTATTCTTTGCATGGTTCACAGCATCTCCCTGCAGGAAAGTAAATATTATTACCTTTGATAAGAAAGATTATAATTCCAACCTGGAAAATTTCTCTTAATATAGATTCGGATCAAGGTTCTCCTTTTACAGGACAAACTTTCCAACACGTATATAAAAACTTAAACATCAAATTTCAACCACATATTCTGCATCACCCAAAACACTCAGGCAAATAGACTGCAAAGCAAGTACTGAGTAAACTTTGCAACAAGACAGCCTTAAATAGCTGAGCTATTTTCAATTGTCATGATGTACATGCAAAGTGTAATTTAAAGGACCATGGGCCTCAGCAGACTTCCAGGCCAAGATTGGACTCCGTGTCAAGACATCCGTTCCCGCTGGGGAACTGGGTACACAAGCAATTCTGGAGAAAGACTTGCCAAGCCTATTTCCTCAGCCTTATTCAATTCTTTTGGGCACTCCCACAGCTGTACTCTGTACCAGACCACCCATGTGGATACACACATCTCATTGCAAGCCTGCCTGGAGAATGCCACAGTCACATCAAAAGCGCTAAAAACTAGGTATTCCTGAGTCCTCTGCGAATCAAAGATACCATTCAGGACCACAATAGCCTGAAAGGGAACCCCTAAGTTTTCACTGCTCTGTAGTGGCTTTTGCCTGGAAAAAGAAGTGGCATCCTTAACTAACAAAAAGACATCCACAGAGAAGTATTCTTAGAGAACCACATGGAGATGCAAGATAACCCCTGGAGGAACTGTGTGAACTGGGAGACCTCAGAGCCTACCCTGCCTATAGGATTCTTTGCAGTCTTTTTTTTTTTTTTTCATAAGGAAGATTGGCCCTGAGCTAACATCCATGCCAATCTTCCTCTACTTTATATATGGGATGCCACCACAGTATGGCTTGATGAGCGGTGTGTAGGTCCGTGCCTGGCATCTGAACCTGCGAACCCCAGCCTGCCAAAGCACAGCACATGGGCTTAACCACTACACCACCGGGCCAGCCCCTCTTGCAGTCTTTACCTTGCTTGCAGTGGTGGTTTGCAGCTGCCGACCAGGAAGATCTCCTTCCTCTCACTCACCTCCTCTATCCTACAGTGATGATGAACGGCAGCCATCCCTGGAAAGGCATATTCACAGCCGAGTGAACGCGCAGGTAGGAACATGTGGATTCATCTATCCCGAGAGTGGAGCACACGGTGAGGAAAGCAGCTCCTCCCTAATAAAGCACGGGGCAGTACCTTGCAGGCAAACCCCAATCAGCAAAACCATCTTTAATGTTTCACTCACCCGCACTAATACTGTAAGGCTTTTACAAGGACTCTAAATACTTTATTGGACAAATAACTGTGACTTCCTTTAAATAAATGTTATTATTACTCTTTCAAAAAGTCTTTTTAAAAAACAAGACTTTTTATCTTGGAAATTTTGAAACATAAACAGAGGGGAGAGAACAGTGTAGTGAAACCAGACCCCCTCAGCAGCCTACAGCACTCCCGAAGCCTCGTGCAGTCTGGCCTCCTCTGTCCCTGCCTCCGCCCTCCTGCCCTCCAGTATCTGGAAGCACAGCCCAGAGATTATATCTTTTCATATAAATACTTTAGAATGAAGCTCTAAAAAATACGAATTATTTTAGAAACATAACCGCGATGCCATTCCCACATGTAAGACTGTTAGCAAAAACTCGCTTAGTCTAATCAAACATCCGGAGTGCGCACTTCCTCAATTGTCTCGTTCTTTTCCAGTTTGTTCAAATCAGTATTCAAACAAGATCTCTACTTTCCAACTGGTTGCAATATTTCTTGTCTGTTTTAATCTATGGAATTTTTCTTACCCTTTTTTCCTTGTGATTTTTTAAAAGAAATGAGATCGTTTATCTATAGAGTTTTGTAACCAAATAGCCTTTTTGAAGTTGGCTAACTTTTGACTACAAGATGTGTCCCCTGCAGAGTGTCGTTACAGTGTCTCCTCTTCCCTACCTGTGTCACATGGCCTCCTCCACTGCGGTCTCAAGGGCGTGTTTGGAGGAGAACCTGAGGTTTTACTCGGAGATAAAAGGAAGTCTCTATTTGGATGGATTAAGGAATTGGAGCTTGGTGGTCCTAACCTCCGTCGGGTGAGTTCTCCCTTCTTTCCTTCCTTCGTGCAATGCAGGTGTTACAAATAGCTAAGTCTTGTTCTTAAGTGCAGAGTCTGGGATCATAGTTCCACAACAGTTTACTACCAGCTGGCTGTATAGATCTCAAACTTTCCCCCTGACTAGTCCTTATATCCCTGCATTGTCCCTAAAACAACCAACCAACATTTATTTACTTATTTATTTTTTTTGAGGAAGATTAGCCCTGAGCTAACTGCTGCCAACCTCCTCTTTTTGCTGAGGAAGACTGGCCCTGAGCTAACATCCATGCCCATCTTCCTCTATTTTATACATGGGACGCCTACCACAGGTTGGCTTTTGCCAAGCGGTGCCATGCCCGCACCCGGGATCCGAACGGGTGAACCCCGGGCCACCGAGAAGCGGAACGTGTGCACTTAACCGCTGCGCCACCTGGCCGGCCCCCCAACATTTATTAAGGATACAGAAAGTACAAATCTCAGTTCACAAATCTCTATTTCAAGAAATGAAACTTTATTTCAAAGAAGACATATAAATAGCCAACAGGTATATGAAAAGGTGCCCAACATCACGAATTATTAGGGAAATGCAAATCAAAACCACAACAAAATATCACCTCACGCCTGTTAGAATGCCTATTATGAAAAAGTCAAGAAATAACAAGTGATGGTGAGGATGAGAAGAAAAGGGAAAACTTGTGTACTGTTGGTAGGGATATAAACTGGTGCAGCCACTGTGGACAACAGTATGGCAGTTCCTTAAAACATTAAAATTAGAACTACCATGTGATCCAGTAATCCTACTTCTGGGTATATAGCCAAAAAATTGAGATCAGGATCTTGAAGAAATATCTGCACTCCCATGTTCATTGCAGCATTATTCACAATAAGCAAGTAATGGAAACAACCTAAATGTACATTGACAGATGAATGGATAAGTAAAATGTGATATATGTAAAATGGAATATTGTTCAGCCATAATAAAGGGAGGAAATCCTGCCTTTTGCAGCAACACAGATGAACCTAGTGGACATTATGCTGAGTGAAGTAAGCCAGACAAAGAAAGACAAGTACTGTATAAGCTCCTTCGTATAAAATGTTCAACTCTCGAAAGCAGAGAGTGGAAAGGTGGTTGCGGGGGGCTGGAGGGTGGAGGAAATGGGGACATGTTGGTCCAAGGGCATAAACCTTCAGTTATAAGATGAATAAGTTCTGGGGATCTAATGCACAGCATGGTGACTATAGTTAACACTGTATTGTACACTTGAAATTTGCTAAGAGTAGATCTTAAGTGTTCTCACCAAGGGAAAAAAAGTAACTACGTGATGTGATAGATTTGTTAATTAGCTTGATTGTGGTAATCATTTTATTTATTTATTTATTTTAAAGATTTTATTTTTCCTTTTTCTCCCACAGCCCCCTGGTACATAGTTGCGTATTTTTTTAGTTGTGGGTCCTTCTAGTTGTGGCATGTGGGACGCCGCCTCAGCATGGCCTAGATGAGCAGTGTCATGTCCGCACCCAGGATTCGAACTGGCGAAACCCTAGGCCTCCGGAGCGGAGCACACCAACTTAACCACTGGGCCACGGGGCCGGGCCCGTGTAATAATCATTTTACAATGTGTATGTGTATCAAATCATTATGTTGTACATCCTAAATATATACAATTTTTCTTTGTCTATTATACCTCAATAAAGCTTGGGGGGGATTAAACTTTATTTTTCCTCTACCTTAAGTTCTGTAATTTCTGTAGCATGCCAAAAACCACTCTCAGTCGTTTGAGAACCCTGCCTCCTTCCTCAGCGTGGCTTCCAAATGTTGCCACCACTATGTACTTCTCCGCAGCTGGTCTTCAGTCCCTGTCCTATGCTTTGCTATCACACCTTCCTTTGATCCCAGCCATGTGACTTTGAATCCAGCTCTCTCTCAGCTACTTCTGTGCCCCTCTCCAGTACATGGGGATGAGTCAGCATCTCCCACGCCATACAGTCACGGGGACTTCAGGCTGCCTTCTGAGGCCCTGCCTGCCTACCTTCTCAGACCCCTCCGTGCCTCAGCACCACCAGGAGGGCTTGTTAAATCACGGAATGTTGGGCCCCACTCCTGAAGCTTCTGACTCAGTGGTTCTGGAGTGAGGCTCAAAAATTTGCATTTCAAACAAGCTCGCAGGGGACACTGATGCTACAGGTCTGGGGACCAGGCTGTGAGAACCAGAGGCCTGGACTTACCATGAAGCCACTTATTCTGGGGCTCTAACCAGGAAGGGGGTCGACCCTCTACATTCAGATTACCCAAACGAATGTAAGTTCTATTATTTGCTACTATTTATTCCTTGTCTCTCAGAGTTTGGCCTAGTGGGGAAGGGAGGAGACAGGGTCACTCTTTGCAAAAGACTCAAAATCTACACATTCCTAACTTCTCCAACTCTCCTCCTCCTCCATCCAGAGAGTCTCTGTGTAGACCAGGGCCAGCAAATCTTTTCTGTCAAAGGCCAGATAGTAACTATTTTAGGCTTTGTGGGCTATATGCTTTCTGATGCAACTACCCAATTCTGCCATTGGAGTGCAAAAGTAGCCATAAACAGTATGTGAATAAATGGTGTGTTTCAACTAATTTTTATTGACCTTGAAATCTGATTTTCATATAATTCTTCTTCTTCTCATTTTGACTTTTTTCAGTCATTTGACACTGTGAAAACCATCCTTAGCTGACAGGCTTTATAAAAACAGGCGTGGAGTGGATTGAGCCCACAGGAAGATTTGGCCCGCTGCCTATAGTTTACTGATCCTTGCTCTTCAGCATAACTTCTGCACAACCTTTTCCAAATTTGAAATCTGCCCTTTTGGTGGATGGAACTTAGTGGTAAGTTACAAACACATGGGATGTCTCCACATCAGCTTAAGACAAGAAAAAAGATGGCTCTTACACCTCATTTTAACTGCTGGGTGAATGTGTCTAGAACTGTGAGGGCTAAATCCTCACTTTATCTCAAACATGATTATTATAGATGAGATGAGGTCATGAGACAGTTATGAAGCCAGGAAAGAAAACTAACTGATCGTAGTCCACATTCTGCAGTTTGACACTTGATATTGATGAATAAATAAAAATCTCCAGCTTCTCTAAACAACTTACCAATGTGAAAAGGATACCTAATATCCTGCTCAAATTAGCGGGATGGTTTAGCAAAATAGCATAGCAGATGCTCAGTAATGAGTGAATGTCTCTCCTCTTAGAAAAGTGATTCTCAACCTTGGCTGCATATCAGCATCACCTGGAAAACTTTTACAACTGCAAGTGCCCAGACCACTCTCCCACCAGTGAAATCAGAACATCTGGTAATAAGAACTCTCCAGGTGATTCTAATTTGTATGCAAGGTTGAGAACCATGACTGTAGTATAATATTCAGAATTTCTGCTCTTTGGGTACACTGTGTCATGTCTAAGTTCAAAAGACAGAGTTTGCAATACTTGCATCATCCTGTGTGGCCTAAGTCCTAAGTAGATTCAGATCCTTTGATTGTAGACACCTGGCCTTTCTTCTTACCTTGAACCTGTGTGCCAGGGCCAGGTGAATTCGAGGTGGGCTTCTGGAGTCTGTGTCTGTAACTTAGCAGCAAAGAATGCTTCAGGTACAAACCAGTTTAAAAAAATAGCAAAAGACTTGAACAGATACATCACAAGAGAAGATAGATGAATAAGCACATGAAAAGGTTCTCAACATTTTTAGTCATGAGGGAAATGCATATTAAAGCCATAAGAGATACAATTTCACACCCTCTGACAACACCAAAAGACCAGCAATACCCAATATTGGCAAGGATAGAGAAACTGGAACCCTCACCCAGAGCTGATGAGACATAAAACGGCACAACTACTTAAACTGGTTAGCAGTTTCTTATAAAGATAAACACTCGCTTGTCCAACGACCCAGCAATCCCACTCCTAAGAAATAAAAACAAATGTCCACTAGAAACATTCAAGAATATTCTCAGTAGCTTTATTCATAATAGTTCAAAATTGCAAACAACTCTTATGTCTGTCACCGAGGAAATGGATAAATGATACAGTGTTCATACAGTAGAATACTACTCAGCAATAAGAAGGAATGAGCAATTAGTGCATACAAAAACACAGGTGAATCTCAGAAGCATTATGTTGAGTGAAAGAAGCATGACACAGAATACACACTGTGTGTTTCCATCTATATGAGATTCAAAGAGAGGCAAACTTCTCTATGGTGATAGAAGTCAGAGCAGTTGTTTTCTGGGGGCTGGGGAGGCGAGGAACACAAGCATTGACTGAAAAAGAGCAGGGGAATAAAGGAACTTTTCGGAGAGAGAGAAATATTCTGAAGCTTCATTGGACTGGTAGTTACCCAGGTGAATAGAGCTGTCAAAACTCATAGAACTGTACACTTAAGATCTATGCCTTTTACGGTGTATAAGTTATAGCTCAATTTAAAGACCATGTAAGAAGAAGGCTTGAGGCCCTAACACACATCATTGACCCTTCTCTCCAGGGGCCTTCTCAACCTTGGCTGAGGTGAGAATGGGCACAGGTCTGAAGAGCACTCGGCCCGTTGCTGGGTCCCAGAGCTTCCTCTGCATGCGGGAAAGGCCCAGAGGTGGCGAAGTGAAGGAGAGTTTCGAGAACATCAAGCAGCGCGCTGTGCAGCACCGCGGTTCTGCTGGAGTGTAGGGTATGGAAAACGGAGGCTGGGAGACAAATGGCGAGGTGCCCCTTGTATGCCAGGTGGAAGAGCTTGATCTTTACTGTAGGCAATGGAATCTGCTGGAGGCTTGGGCAGAGAATGCTTCTCAAATCAATGCCTTCTCCAGGGTTTCACTGATTCCCCTTTGATTCCTGCTTAAAGGCTTTGGAATTCAGAGGAATTCATGAAACCTGGCAGCTAACGTTCCTCCTGGATTCTACCAAGTTTCTAACCTTAGCCCTCTGAAGATGAGCAGAAGCATGAAGGCTGCATTTACTTTGGATGCGGACTTGTTTTTTCCTTTTCTAATACCAGGGAGAGGCTTTCATGGAAAATTTCCAGAGGAGCTTACTTTCTGGCTCCATTTTCCTCATCTCCAATGCACTCCTCACACTCTGCCATCTTCTTTCCCATTCTACTGTTCATCTTAAACCTTTCTCACATACAACACCAATTC